ACGAGTTTTCATCAATTTCAAAACAAACACTCAAAACATAAAATACAAAATGAATTCAAAACTCAAAACACAAAATTGAAATATGAAGAGAACGGCTCCTTATGTTTTTCCTTTTTCAGTCAATTTTGAACTTTGATGAATTTGATTATGCCAAAAGGAGAAATTAATTGAAATCTGAACACTTTAACTGAAACTTCTTAAAATATAATAATTGTTTAATAATGTAATATCTATGGTTGTTAATTAATAATTAATTATCTTCTTCAATTAGCGCTAAGGGGCCTGTTTGGTAGGCAAAAGTAGAAAGAAATTTCAATTCCAAGTTAGTTGGAAATTAAAAACTCACCAAACACATAGGAATTCGTTTTCTATAAAAACAAAGAAAATGCAGCTTAAAATTGTTGTGCCTTGAAATTCGGTTTCCATTTCTATGTTGCAATCAAACGGTGAAAGTGGAATTCATTTTTTTCGGATGTGACATTTTCCATGGAAAAGTCTGCAATCAAATATGGCCTAATATTTTTTTAGGTAGTGGCCATTTGGTTTCCTAAGTAAAAGTCAATTTAGTTGTATTATTCTCAAGCCTAAATAATATCTTAATTACTATACTAATATTTGGTGCCCCTTCTTCCACTAGCCGATCTTAATCATGATAGATGATTAGCACTAGGGCAAGCACCGATCGGGTAATATGAAAATCGTGACCGCGAGAGAGAACAAATGCAAATGAGTGGGCATTAAAATCAAATTTTTATTAGATTTGATAAAAGTAAATGAAATGTTTGGTTGAAAAATTGTAAATCCCCATCAAATATGTGATTCAAAATAATTGTTGATTCGACTTGGATTATAATCTAAATTTTAAGTCCTACCAAACAAACATGGGCACGTTAGAAAATTGATAAAAACATCTAATGGGGTCCTTTGTGTAGCACTACACCAACCCATTGTGCAACAAGGAAACGCTAGGACCATGGGCCATTTGGATCGACCATAAAATTAATGACACGGATTTTAACAATTCACCCAATGTCAACAATAATGTCATCCAAGAATGTACATTTAGATTAATTCTTTTCACAAGACTTTTGGTTCAGGATTGAATTAGCTAACCTAGCACATAGTGCATGCTCTAAAAGTAATACTGATCGAAATTAAAATTATAGAAGTAGAAAGAATGAAAAGGGGCTCAATCGGAACAAATCCAATATGTGACATAGTGTGCACAAAAAATGTGTATAAAGTATAGGGATCTTAAGTGAGGGTATCGCCTTGCATCGAACACGAGAAGTGAATGTCTTGTATGAGCAAATCATCAACTCATTATAATGGAGTGAAAATGTATAATAATAATAATGATCATGATGAAGAACCGGGAACGGGTCGCCAAAGGGCAAATCGAGCCACATTTTAATGAAACGAGCCAACTCGACCCATTTTAAGAATTCTAAGAATATCTCCAATATACTCTCTATTTTGAAATAGCATATTCAATCATTTGGAGATTATCTATAAATTTAGAGAGTTAAAATTTTAAAATACTTCAACAAGCTCTTTATATTTAACACTTAATTTTACTACTCCCAAAAAATATTTATTATTTTATTTATCTTTTATTTTAACTAGTTTTTCTTTAGATTATTTTATTGTTTTTATACATTGAAATTTGAAACACTTTGTATGCATTTAATTATAGAGAGTGAGTTTGGAGAGTCAAACTCACTTTCTAAATTAAAACGTTAATTTAAAGAGTCTCTTTGATTATCATTTTAAATGTTAACTCTTTAAAAT